TCCGCATGCAGCAGCAAGCTAACCGACGTCGACTTCCATGTCCTTTCCGCGAGGGAGACCTTGTTTGGGTCCTCTCCGAGGAATTTGCGCTCGAGCAGGATGTTTCGCGCAAACTCCTTCCGAAATGGTTCGGACCATGGGAAGTCACTTCTGTCGTTGGAGACGACCCCGCAGGCCCTTCCTTCGTGATCGACATTCCACCGCACCTGACAGTGCATCGGGTCTTCCACGCATCGAAGCTGGCAATCTACACGCCACCTTCAGCTGACGAGTTCCCCGGACGTCGATCACAGGATCCGCCTTCTATGGACGRACATCAGGAAGTTGACCGAGTCATCACGCACCGCAAGTATGGCAACAAGCCAAGGCAGTACAAAGTCACATTCAAGCAATGTGCGCCTGATGACACTCGGTGGATCTCCAGTACAGATTTGCAGACTTCTGCACCCCTCATATTTGTCGACTATGAGAAGCGACGCCTTGCTAAGGACGCAGCTCGTCCTGCCCGACCCACACCGGTATCGGACAGACAACTTCGCCCTCGCAGGTAGCTCGGTCTTTTAAGAGGGGGAGTGTGTTACATCTTCGACGCACACGGGTCCTACCGGACCCGACTTAGGGTCGGAGGGACACACCAGGGCCTAAAGGCCCGACCTTGGGGTGCTACAGGCCATAAAGGCCTCACCTTGGACCAGACCCGACGGGCAGGCCCAAATGACATTACCGTTTGGGCCTGGCGGCGCTCTTGAGGCTGCCGCCCGCCGGTTGGGGCTGAACCGTCCATCTGGACGGTTCAGGGTACAGCCAGGCTTCGCAGCAGTGAGGCCGGCCTCTGCCCACCGGTATAAAGAACCGGTCCGGCCTCACTTTAGGGATCGACCTACCGGCACTCTACCGGTACGGTATGGTCAGCGCCAGAGCGCTGTTTGATGCGCTAAGATTAGCGCAGGAGCGAGCAAGGAGCAGCAGCGGCAGCGCAGCATTAGCGCAGCAGCAGGGCGACTGAGCCAGCACGGCGGCCATTGCCGCCTGAGGTACCTGGGAGCCGGAGGACCTCTCCTCCCTCCCTCGTCAGCTCTCTCTCTCTCTCTCTCTCCTCCTCCTTCTTCTTCTTCTTCTTCATCAGATTGGATACTTATACTAGTTGGACAGAGATCAGAGTTGGACTTCGGTGATATGAGACT